GATACTTTGAATACTTCTCTGGGTGGGCCCTGTGGGAAAAGTTGAAATGCACAGCTTCTCAGAAACTGAAATTGTGTGTGTGTGTGTGTTTTAAAAATAAACCTTCCTCCTCCCACCCCACCCCCTTAGTTCTCAACCAGTCAGCAATGACTGTTTCACCATCTCTAGGGAACAGAATGGAAATAGAAAGAAGGAGCTAACAGTGTGGGAAGGCCAGCCTGTCAATATGTTACTGATTCTTGTTCTGAAAGGATTGTTTTAGTAGCAAATGACAGATGCCTTCCTTGAGCTGGCTTCACCACAAACACCACAAACGGGAAAGCATTGGGGAGATCCTAGAGGTGCTAGAGGAAGCATTAGTTTCCTGTTGCTGCTGTAGCAAATTACTGCAAACTCGATGCCTTAAAACAACACAAATTTGGGACTTCCGCCAAGATGGAGGTTTAAGGTGGATGTGCCTTGCCTCCTCTCACAACCAAGTTTAAGGACAACTAAATATTAGCATCAGAAAACACAACCAGAACACGGAAAACTGAACTTTTCGGAAGTCCGCAAACAACAAATTCTTCGGCCCGACCGGTAAGGGGCGAAACCGGCGGCGGGTGAGGAGTTACAAAGGAGAACTCAATCGACCCGGGCGCGGGCTCGGAATCCAGACGTGCGAATCCAGTCGCACAGGTTCCAAACCCAGGATTGGACCTAGTGAGCAGCCCACCGGGTGAGCGACTACGGAGGAGTCAGTGGGGAGGCCGTGGCAGCGAGTTGACTGTGGGTGCCCGGTTACGCGCGGGTGAGGGAGTGAGCGGTGGGACCGGCTGCGGCGGCGGCGCCATTTTCCCCGCTCTGACCACGCCTCCACATACAGCGTCACAACCCAGCGACCTGGGACTCGAAGGCGCCGCTTCTCTCACTTAAAGGGCCAGAACAGACCAAAAATGTCGCAGGGGGACCTCAAAGTCCCGGAGATAAATCTAAGTGACGAAGAAATAGCAAATCTCTCAGACGCACAGTTTAAAACACTGGTCATCAGCTTCCTCACAGATCTGGTGGACTATAGCCACAAATTAGAGAAACATGTGAAGGCTAAATTAAGGGAAATGAATGGAATTCCACAGGAAACCCATAGAGATGAAAAAAAAACTGGGACTCAACTCAATGGAGTGAACCAGAAGGAAGAAAAAAATGATCAATCAGAAAGGAATGAAGAAATAAGAATTCAGAAAAATGAGGAGAAGCTTAGAAACTTCCAGGACATCTATAAACGCTCCAATATCCGAATTATAGGGGTACCAGAAGGGGGAAAGACACAACCACCAGTGGAAAAACTATTTGAACAAATAATAAAAGAAAATTTCCCCAATCTGGCAAAGGAAACAGACTTCCAAGAAATCCAAGAAGCCCAGAGAGTACCAAAAAAGTTGGACTCAAGAAGAAACACACCAAGGCATATCATAATTACATTAGCCAAAATTAAAACGAAGGAGAGAATCCTGGAAGCAGCAAGAGCTAAGGGGACAATCACCTACAAAGGAGTCCCCATCAGGCTGTCAGCAGATTTCTCAAAAGAGACCTTACAGGCAAGAAGGGGCTGGAAAGAAATATTCCAAGTCATGAAAACTAAAGACCTACAACCAAGATTGCTCTACCCAGCAAAACTTTCATTTAGAACGGAAGGACAGATAAGGTGCTTCTCAGATAAGACCAAATTCAAGGAGTTCATCATCACCAAGCCCTTATTATATGAAATGTTAAAGGGACTTATCTAAGAAAAAGAAGTGAAAGAAACATGAACAGTGAAAGGACAACAAGCTCACAGTTATTAACAACCACACCTAAAACGAAAGCAAACTAAAAGGACAGCTAGATCAGGAGTGGAAACATAGAAATGAAGATCTCAAGGAGGGTTAGCAACAGGGGAGTGGGAGGAGGAGACGGGGAGAGAAGGTACAGAAAACAAGTAGCATAGACAGTAGATAGAAAATAGATGGGGGGGCAAGAATAGTATGGGAAATATAGAACCTAAAGGACTTGAGACACATGGACATAAGCTAAAGGGGGGGGAATGGGGGGGTTGGGGGGGCAGGGTGGAGGGGAATGAAGGGGGGAATAGAACAACTGTAACAGCATAAACAATTCAAAAAAAATAAATAAATTTATTTAATAAAAAAAAAACCACAAATTTAATTTCTTACATCCCTGGGCATCAGAAGTTTAAAATGGATTGGCAGGGCTGGTTCCTTCTAGAGGTTCTAGGGGAGAATATTTTCTTGCCTTTTTCAGCTCCTGGAGGTGGCCAGCATCCCTTGGCTCATGGCCCCTCCTTCTCCCTCTATCCTCTTGCTTCCATGATCACTTCACCTATTACTGACTCTGACCCTCTGGCTGCCTCTTGGGAGGACCTTTGTGATTACCTCGGGACCACCTCAATCATTCAGGATAACCTCTGCATCTCAGAGACTTTAGCCACATCTGCAAAGTTCTTTTGCCCACATAAGGCAACATATTCATGGGTTCTGGGGATTAGGGAGCTTTCTGTGAAAGCCTGCAGGTAAGGAAAGGACTATTAATGCTCCCCATACCCTCCTGTGGGGACCCTCGCCTTCAGGAATGGGGAGAAGTGGACCCCTTTGCCATGCAACAGATGGCTGCCTCCTGCCCAGCTACACCCAACTATCTCCATGCTGACCTTGCATCTGGGCGGGGAAGTTCCCACCTTAGTGACTAGGGGCAGGGATGGGAAGGAGAGGAGCTGCAGTGCCTGCTTGGCCATTATTGTTGGGGATGAACAGAGTGACTGCAGTGGGCTTCCCGGTAGCCCCCAGTTCCACCTGGGCACTTTGGCCTCCCACATCCCTCTCAGAGCCCTTCGGAGAGCTCTTGTCTGTGATTCACACATGCCCACACTCCTCAGATGGTAAAAAAGAAGGCAATTTAAATCTCTGAAAATCCCACTAACTCAGAGGTAACCACTGTTAACATATTGATGTATATCTTTCCTGACATAAGTATACACCTTTACAAAATTGTTACACTAGCTTCTTTTTAATCTGCTTCATTCACTCAATAATGTGTTGTGATCACTTTTCTCTGGCAATAAATGTAGAATTACCTCTCCATTTCTAGTGGTTTCATAGTATTGCACAGAATAATATAATTAGGACACAATTGACTACCAAGTCACTTTCAACTGTTATAAAAAATATTACCATGAACCTCTTTGCTATTTGTTTAGGTATCTCCTTAAGGTAAATTTCTAAATATGGAACTGCTGAGTCAAAGCTACATTTATTTACACTTGGGTATTATTACAAGTTAAATTGTGTTCTTCTCTCCCCCCCAGAAGACATGTTGAAGTCTTAACCAATAGTATTATCCATATTTTCTTCTGGTATGTCTATGATTTTACATTTTCTTTTTTCTTAAAAAAGATTTTATTTATTTATTTTTAGAGATGGGAAGAGAGGGAGAGAAACATCAATGGTTGCCTTTCACGTGCCCCCTACTAGGGACCTGGCTGACAACCTAGCCACGTGCTCTGACTGGGAATTGAACTGGTGCTCAATTGGTTCTCAGCCCATGCCCAGTTCACTGAGCCACACCAGCTGGGGTTGATTTTATATTTTAAAGTTAATTTTTTGGTATACCTGGAATGTGTTTTCCTGCAAGTGAGATTGTAATCTAGGTAGGTAGTTTTTCAAAGTGACTACCAGGAAATAAATGATGTATGTTTCTCATGCTGATCTTAATACCACCATTGTCATATCATAAATTCCCAAGTGTACTGGGTGCTACTTCTGTACTGTCTCTTGAGATCACTATGGCAATTAGCCCAACTAGTCATTTATTCTTCATCCCAACTGGGAAAACACCAAAAATGACCACCAGAGGGCGCCTTCTAGCATCCTTGACCCCCTCCAGGTTGTCTAGCTGTCCCACCTTGCAGGCCTCATTTCGGTTGTGCACAAAGTCCAAACAGGCCACCCTAACTTCCTGCCTTCCTCTTGTGGTGAAAAGACAATAGTGGAGCCAGGGGAAGAGTGTAGGCAACAGGAAATGGGCAGGTCCACATGCCCTGGTGTGGGCCTCCCTCTTGCCAACACAACAGTCCCAGTCAACTGGGACAGGGCCACCAGCTGTTCTCAAAGCACTCTGGCTTGGTTTATCCACATTGTCTCCACTAGGTGAGCTCCTATGCCTCTTTCTTGGCCCAGTTCAAATGCTACTACTGGGACCCTCTTGATCCTCCTTCTTTTCTGTCTGTGCTCCCTCAGCCGCAGCTTCATTGCTTTCTGTAGCAATTGCTTATGTGCCCCTCTGACCTGGAGAACACGCGCTCCACCAGGGACCAGCTTGCTCAGCTCCAACTGGAAACTTGTGAGCAGAGGGCCTGGCACATGGCGAAGAACACTGAACTTCACCTGCATTCTAGTATGTCTTCACCTGCCTCCTACACCTTGGGAGGCTTCCCTGAGGGCAGGTGCTGGATCTGATTCTTCTTTCTGGCCCTCACACTGCCCAGCAAAGGGTCAGGCAAAGCAGGCCCTCAGATTTGCTGTGGTGAAGCAGCCTTTGGTGTGTGTAACCCACTTCTGTCCGTGGATGTCTTTTTCAGCTAGCACATATCTATCAGGCATTTTCTGTTGTGCCCGGACTGTGCTGGGTGTCTTGAAGGGAGGGGAGTTGAGGAAGTGCCCTGTCCCAGCCAGAGAGCAGACAATCTCGGATGAGAGATTCCATGGCCCTATCGCTGGAGCTGCTTCATGTTTATCAGTCGACTCATTTTTCAAATGAGGAAACTGAGGCTCAGGCAGGGGAAGGTTTCATATTGGGAGTTGTTAGCAGACTGACCCTGGAATTCTGATCTCTGACACCCCAGACTTGGACTTGCTGTGCCAGGTGCACCATGGAAGCAGCAGGCCTGTGAAGTCTGCTGCATCACGGCTGGATGGGGCCCGTCCTAAAGGGTTAATGACGTCATTTACGAATGAATCAGCAGAAAATACAAGCTGAAGAGTTGCTGCTTTAGTAGCAGGGGATGAACTCTATCCACAGAAGCATTTATTCACTTCTTGAAAGCTCATTTAAAATTTGCTTTTTGGGAGGTTTTTGAGCAGCTCCCCTTTAAATGGACCCTAATAAGGAAGAGCACAGACTCTGCAATGAACGGAGCTGGGTTCCGAGTCCTTCCCTGGCTGTACAGAGTTGATTCAGGGTGTCACTGCCCAGAGCGTCAGTGTTCCCGCCTGCGACATGGAGATGATTGTCTTCCAGGTAAGTGGAGGAAAACCCTGGTGGCAGGCCCTGGCCCCCAGCAGGGGCCCAGTCACAGGCTCCCCCGTTCTGTGGCGGGCGGCCCATTGTGTCCAGCTACGTCCTGGGATCGGCCACAATGGGAGCAGTTACATCATGGAACTTAGCAAACACTACCAACCAGGAAGCTGTTTGTTTCCCAAGACATATCCCAGACATCCCGGGGTGTCATCATTATCGCTGAGAACAATAATTTGTGAACTCCAGGCAGACCCGTGCACACAGCCAGGCTGTTGGTGCTCACACGGCCACTCGTCTCTGTCTGAGCCGTCAGCTCGGCAGAATGGCTGATCGGTGGTAACCTGAGGCTGTCGGCCTCGCTGGGAACTCTGTCTGGTCACGTTGTGAGGAAAAACCCAGTTCGGTCAAAATTTCTGGATGCCACCTGTTACATACTCTCAGGAGCAGAACTTCCCTCTCCTCTCCCAGCAGAAGCCGGGTCAGCGGCTCCAGGGCTCCCTGGGCTTCGCGCGAGCTGCTCTCCAGTGCTAGTCACAGGCGAGCTGGGCACTTACCCAAGTCTGCTTCTGGGTGGGTGTCAGGGTCCTCTCCTCTGGAGCTCCAGGAATGCTCAGGGCAGGCACAGCTGTGGGGACACCCCTGTCCCCCCATCCAGGGCCTGACCCCTCCTCACTAGAACAGGCTCCTGGAGGGGCCATGGGGGCAGCAAGAAGATTCTGGCTCCAGGAAAGCCTCAGGGGTCAGATTTCCCTGGAGGAAGGGATGGCCTGGTGAGGGCACGGGGCCTTTCCCAGGGGGCTGAGCCGAAAGAGGAAGTGTGGTCAGGCCTTGGCACTTGCTGCTCTGGGGCGGGTGGGAGGCCTGTGGGTGGGGAACGCCTCTTGTCTACTGTGCCTGAGCCACAGGCACTCAGGACACCGCTGTCCCCTCAGCTGCTCACATCTGAACTTGCTTATGACCCAGGTAAGCTTCTGGGCCTGTGTCGTGTGAGTGACCATCGGGGGTTGGCCTGGGGGTTGTGGCTGGAGCCTCCACAAGACCACGGGATGGGGTTGGAGAGATACTGGTCTTGAAGAACCCACTGTGCTGGTCACTGGCTAGGTGACCTCAGAATCACTGTGCCTCTGTCTGGGCCTCCACTGCCTCCTGTGTGTGTGCGTTGGGTGATGAAGAAGCCCATGTGTCAGGCTGAAATGACAACTGGGAGTGAGGTTGTTACCTCTCAGGATGCTGCTGGGAGTTTTGGTAGCTGAGGGCCCTGAGGGGTCAGTGCGGAGGGTGGGGTGGAGGCATCCACTGTGCAGATTTTGGGCTGTGTCGTGGAGCTGTTGGATGAAAACCCCGCACCACCACCAACCTAGGTACCTTTGTCACTGTGCCTCTGGCGCTCAGGGATTTATCTGTAAGGCATTCTGTCCTCCAGAGGCCTCAGGATCCAGTGTGTTGGGTTGGGGGTCAGATCTCCATTTCGTTACCTGCTCTCGCCCTCTGGAAAACTACTGTGCAGGAGACCTGGGTTCAGCTCTGCTGCTTCCTCTTCCACCTTCCAGTGATGCTTGTCCAGAAGCCACTCCCTTCCCTGCCCTGTGCACACAATGACCTCTGAGGGAGCATGGAAAATGGACATTGATGAGCTCGCAGATGACTGGGCAAGCTCTGTCATCTGCAAGCTTCTTTTATTTTTATTTTTTAAGGATCTTCCCCTGCCCTGCCTCTGAGAGTTGGAAAACTACAGAGAAATACAGAAATGGTGTTCCCAAATTCCACCACCTCACAACAATGGCGGGGAAGAGTTTGGGTTTTGCCTTCTAATCTTTTTTTCCTATGTGTAGGTATTTTGAAGAGCTTTATTTTGATGTAAATACATTCTAGAAATAGAAATACAAACTTCACCGCTGTGGTCAGGGCCCGGGCTTCTGTGCCCCCCCCCCCCACTTACCTAGGGAACCGGCATTATTGCCCGGGACCCCCTGAGGGACAGGTTGGGAGTTTTCCTCCATATTCTTAGAACCAAACGCATAAGGAAAGTGAACAAAGAGACGATTTTGATTGGATGCAAGGAAAGACTTCTGGGTGGTAGAAATTTGGGGGTAAATGTACCAGGAAGCTTGAATGATCTGCCACTCTGGGACGCTCTGCGACGGGCGACCAGCGCCCCAGAGATACCACAACAGCGACCTGTCCGGGATCAGGGAGCAGAAGCTCTTTGAAGGCGTGACACCTAAGTTTTTGAAAATGTGTTTACCTTATGCTTCACAGGAAGGCCAGGTGATAGCGAAAGAAAGAAGGACCCTACTCTCCCACACCCAAAAATCAAAATCGTTTTTTCATGTTCGCTTCCTGCCGCCCCAGCCGCAGGCTCAAGGGACCCGCGCGCTGATGTGCCTGCAGCACAGAAACACGTTGAATCCACCCCTTTCCTTTTGATCGGTTTCCCGATCGTGCCCTCACGGCGTTTTCTTCCTATTGCTCGACTGCCACGTCCCATCCCATCAGGTGGCTCTCCCATCATCTTCTCCTCGGCGCCCCAGCGTGGGACTGCCGGCAGCTCCCTGCCCGTCTGCACGCTCAGGCCCGTCTGCCCACATATGTGTGCACTTAGGTCTTACTTCCTTTGGATTACTTCCTAGGCTAGATTTCTAGAAATGATCTTACGGAATCACGGGACGGGAACTGCTTTTTAAATGCATTACTATTTGCTTTCCAAAAACATGTAAGTGAATGTGTATGGCCAAAGTCCACGTAGGAGGATCCGTTTCACCACGGCTTTGCCGGAATAGGATTTAATCATGTCTTTTTCCGTTTTGCTAGCAAACAGATGTAGTTTCTAACTGAGGGCAGACAAATGTGCCAGGAGGACGATGAACGAGAGCGGCTGAGCACGCACGCACAGAGTCGGGTCCTGGAATGGAACAAACGCCACACCAGGATGTGTCTGGGCGGGAGGAGGGGCGGGAGGAGGGCTGGGTACGCGGCCCCACTGCAGGCCGCGGGTGCAGTCAGCACGGTGCTGCTGGCCAGAGCGGCGTGTTCCGTTTGCTCTCTCCCCCTTACTTTCCTAGGATCAGCCTTTCACAGAAATGGGAGGGTAGACGGAGGCAGAGGAGAGTCTGCACCCCTTTTAATTATATTACCCTGCCCTTTCCCAGGCACACTTGGCACAGTTGCCGGCAACTATCCGCACAACCATTTGTGGTACTGATCTCAGCCAGGAGGTCAGGCAGGGATCCCCCCCCCCCCGTCCCATCCCCCAGAGCCAGGGCAGTGACCGTCTGGGAACCAGAGGTGAATTCAGGCAAGAAATGCTCATACTGACCTGTAAGTATTAACTGAAATATTATCTTCAGTCTCCCAGGCCCTTGGGATCTAGGTTGAGACCAGCTCAAACCCTCATCTTATGCTCTGCTGAAGTCCAAAGCCCTCCCTGAGACTGCTGTGGGGTCCCCAGGAGGCCACCCCTTTCCGATGGCTCCGAGCCTGTGCGTGAGCCTCTGTCCCATGCCACACGGACCAAGGGGTAAACGCAGCTGTCTTCTTGGTTCCCTACTCCCAAAACAAAATGGCTCACTGAGGCATTGGAGGTACAATAGATTTCACCAAAGACTGGGCAGGGGGCCACCGGGGAGAGGTTTCCAAGGCAGCAATTGGAACAACAGCCCTGCTCTTCAAATGCCACGGCCGCTCCACCCCGAGCCCCTGCCACCAGTTGCCTCTTCCACCTTCGTGCCACACAGCTGTCTCCCCGCCCTCCCCTCCTCCAACTCCTTCCCCCTCCTTCTCCCCCAGAACTCCAGGTTCCCCCCGCTCAGTACACAGAGGAATCTTCAATCTTCAACGTCTCCAGTGCCTGTCAGCCAACTTCAACCCCGGCCCAGCCAGCTAAGTACTTTAAAGGCAGCTCATTCTATTTTTTACTTCTATTTTTAAAGTGAGGTATAAATAAAATGCACAGGTTTTAAATGTGCAGTTCAATACATTTGACAATTGTGACTGCTCTGTAACCACTGCCCAAAATAAGATGCAGAATATTTCCATCACCCAGAAAGTCCCCTTGTGCCCCTTTCCAATCACACCCGTTCCTCCCCCAGTGCCGCCACTATTCCGAGTTCTACTGCAGTCACGTCGTTGAGTCTGCTCTCGAACTTCCTACACTGAGAAGCACACAGGCTGTGCTCGTTTACCTCTGGCTTCTTTCACTTAGTGTTTCCAGGGTTTGTCTACATTGTTGTGTGTACGGGACATTTGTTTTTTAAAATTTCTATGTAGCATTTTTTAAAGATTTTATTTATTTATTTTTAGAGAAGGGGGAGGGAGGGAGAAAGAGAGGGAGAGAAACATCAAAGTATGGTTTCCTCTCATGTGTCCTGGGGACCTGGCCTGCAACCCAGGCATGTGCCCTGACTGGGAATCGAACAGGTGACCCTTTGGTTCCTGGTCTGGCACTCAGTCCACTGAGGCACACCAGCCAAGGTTCTAGGTAGCATTTTATTGTGTGAATATACCAGCCATTTTATCCATTCTCCTGTTTATAGTTTCATATTCTTCAACTAAGTACAACATGCCCAGATGGTTGATATTAAGAATAAAAGTGTGAGCAGGACAGAGGGGAGAAATTTCAGCAGGGAGAAAGGCATAAAAAGGAGGGGGGGGCTGACATTTTAATAATACATTTTACTTACCCCAATATATTTAAAATGTTATCATTTGAATATGTAATTGATGTAAGTTTTTAATAACAAGACATTTTACATTTTTCTTTCCACACTACGTCTTTGAAATGTAGTATGCATTTCACATTTACATCTCAGCTCCAACTTGCCACCTCGCCCAGTAAGTGCTCAGTAGAATAGCCTCATGGGGCCAGCAGCTGCCGTCTCATTCAGTGCAGGCCTCAGCGGAGGAGACCTGCACTCCGGCCACTCCTCAGACACAGTCCTCAGAAGCAAGGAGCTGGATTAGAATTCAGATCTCCCCAGTTTCCTGCTGAGCTGTTTGCAAGT